GTCGTGTGATTCCACATGTCCAACTGTGGATGACAAGAAAGCACGTTCATGTTTTTTTCTTGGACAAACTTTTTGTCAGGAAATCAATTGTTTTCTTTGTTACATACAGAACATATTTCTATTGTGGATATAGAGGAAGAAACATATCCTTCTACTTTATAATTCCCTTTGGAATTACACCAAGACTTTAAAAATGAATTTGAAATCGAAGTTTTGATTCAAAACGAAATTTTTAAAAAAGTAGACCTTTTTAGAGTGATTTTCTTCTCATTTAAAAACCATGGAGCATGGTGTGTATGCACATATACATGGTGTAACTTACTGTAATTTTATAGTTAAGAAACGGACTTTGAGAACAGTTCCATTTCAGACTATTGTGGGCATTAAAAGACTGTCATTGGACATGTTGCAATTGTCTCTGTTTGGAACTAGAAACTATCTGTTCAAATGCTTTCAACAAATAGTTATTCCTTCTAAATCAATAATTTTAATTTGTATATATCTTGTTCAGAGTTTAATTGAAAATAAAGGATTTATTTTTTCCTGTACTAATATGAAAAAAACCTTTAAAATTTAGAAAGATGGATTGTCATAAGCACATTTCTTTTATACAATCATGGTACAAATAGGTACTTACTATGCTTTCTTTATAGCACAGGAAGTCGGACCAACAATAAAAGGATTTTTTTGCATGTTCTTGCATTTCTCTGTATTGTTTGCAGCATGTTCCATGGCTTCCAAAAGACCAGATTTGATGCAAGACCCTTGATACAGAAATACTTTTTCCTACAGTTTTGGCCCCTTAATAATCGAATCATATGATGGTCCCTGATTGGTATCCCATTATGGTTACATTGAAACATGTGACTTGAGTTAGAAGATTTAGCCATTTTGAGTTTTTTCTTTATCGTGTCAATGTTTCCTAGCTCTGCATTAATACTCCTAAACATTTGAAAATGGCTGTGTAAATGACTGTGTAAATATGTTCATAAGTAGACCTTCTGGTCGTGCTGCTTACTGTTTATACCTGGTCATTTGTGTGTCTGCCACTGTTAGGGGTTGGGGAAATACTTTCCTTTTTCACCTGTACATTTCTTATTCTGTTGTGTGATTGTCTCTAATTTTGTATAATGAGGATTCTGCACCAAATTTCTTTTTACAGTGTTGGATAGTAAAGCACCAAAATCTGAAGATATTGATGAAGAAGATGATGATGTCCCAGGTAGGCACATAGACACATATCCATTTAATGTATAAATATTTGATTCAGATATTTTAAACATTTAGCTCCTAGCAATTGTATTTCTTACTTGCTAAGGGAGGCTTCGTATATGGGGCAGCATTAAAACAGGGCTTTAGATTCAGGCCTTTGTGCAGGTCACTTAATTCTTAAGTGAGAAGAGGTTAGAATAGTTTCAGGGAGGTTGATCAGGTGATTTGAATATCCTGATAGGGTCTAAGTGCTGCAAAATTAGTCTAAATAGTTCTAAGGTGTTCTTTAAATCAGTGTGGGGTGAAGATTTTAATTTCTGCAGCAGAAGAAACAAAGCTTATGTCAGTGTCTGAAAGTTTCTCAGTAAAAATGATAAGTTTTTATTTGTTAGTTAACTGTATCAATCACCACATTCTACTGTATCCATCAGTATGATAAACACGTGGACCTAGAGTTTCAATTCCTTGTGCTCTGGCACTGGTTTATTTCTTTGTGACTTTGCAAAAAAATTCAGTTCTCTTAAATTTTCCATTTCCTGGAGTACAGCACTTAATGGGTGCCTAACTTCAGGTGTTCTTTAAAGAATGCTGATGGCTCAAGACTCGATTGCAGCTACTGGGGCACCTCTAAAAAATCAGACTTTAACCACTTCTTGTTACAACTCCCACTCTTCTGCATGTTCCTGAATTTCTAGTTCTTCATGTATGTTCGAACAAACTGGATTTTCTAAAGTCCTTGGAAATCTGCCTGTAAAAAATGGTGTACATAAGTATAGTTAAGAACTACTTAACCCTTCCTATAATGTATGCATTTTCATTAAACTTAAGACGGTAATATTACTGGGCATTATTAAATATCTATGTATTAAATATCTTCATCTCTTTCAGATCTCGTAGAAAACTTTGATGAAGCATCAAAGAATGAAGCTAACTAAAACATTAATAGTTCTGGAAGCTGGCATGGACTAGATTTAAGAAATCAGCTATGTGGTTCCAAAGTTTTAAAGAAACAGAGAACATCATCTGTTAATAGTTCAGTAATATAAATATTTTGTATTTTTATGATGCTGTTTGTTCAGCATTTTCTGTCAGTTGATTTTGCATTTTGCACTTACTCCCAGGATCTACTCTTTTGGTCAAAAAGAAATGTCAGTGCAGTTCGAGGGGTGTGTGCATGTGCGTGCGTGTATGTGTGTGGGTGTACATATAGTAGAGAACAAATTGGAGAACACTTATTTAACCTCTTCCCCTTTTCCTTTGGAAGTAGAAATAAAATGAATCTTCAGCATTGTTACTTTTGATTATCACCAAATAGTGCGCAGGAAGTAGTTAAGATTAAAGTTTGTCTACATTTTGTGACCTGAAGACATGCCATTAAAACTTGGGTTTAATTTGCTGTTGACTTGTACTTGCAGATGTGTTTCTCAGCCCTGTTGAAAGGTACATATTTGTTATCAGCCTTGCGTTGATCCTAGATGACATCAAAGATGAGCTGTTTTACCGGCTTGTTTGCTACAGTAATCGTTTAAAAAGAAAAGTTGGTCTTGAAAAAGTGTGCTTTTTTTTAACCTTTCTCAACTTGTTTTTTTTCCCCCCTTGTCTCTGTAACCTTTTGAGGCAAACTGATGTCTGACTCCTTCCACATAGGCTTAGCAGTATGTTCCTCTCATAATTATGTAGAGTATTTCCTGTATCAAAAGGAAAACAAACAACTTGGTTCTCTACTGTCAGAGACTTCTTAAACATGGAGGTCTAGGTGGTAACAGTCCAGTGCACCAGTTTTGCATGATAACAGATTTTTGCTTGAATAACTTCAAGCTGTTCTCTTGGCATGACTGCATTTACTAGCAGCTGATGGTCACCATCATTCTTACGGCTCTAGAATTAAATGCACCAGGTGAGCAGCGTTCAGGTGCGAGGGAAGAGTTGTTGACATTTTGCCTTGCCTCCTGCTGGGTAGTTTGTGCAATGACTAGCTCTAAAGGGATCTCTTTTGGTTTTTTGCCTGTAACTTACTCTGCCTATAACCTACCTCTAGGTTTGGTGTCATCTATGTAGTAGCTTCTTGAAAACCAGAAATGCTCCTCAGGCATAAGGAGGACATGGGGGGTACTGTTGGTACAGTGCAGTATTTATGACCTTTCTTTAAAATGCTTGATGTGAACTCGTTTTCTCAGAGGCTCTTTCAAGGTTCTTGATGTAATGTGCATTACGATATAGTTAGGCATCATTGTAACCTGTGTCAAGGGCAGCTGTGGCTTAAGAAAGCCATTTTTTCCTCTACATCTGTCACTTAACTATGGCTTAATTGGAACATATCAGCTTTTTACATGGACTCATATGCTAGAGAACCGTAAAAGTACAAGGTAAACAGTACATGAGTTTTGGTGACATCATACGCCCACAAAAGCAGAGCTGTAGTGGTTTGTCATCTGAACTCCTGCATTTATTTTATAGACTTTGTTCATTTTCTTTTCCTGTTGTATTTTATATACTACATGAATCTTACTATGAAATAAAATCACAGTGCAAAAGAGGAAATGCTCCCTCTTGTGTGTTGTCTCCTCATCCCACCAGCCCTAGCTGAGGAGTGACAGGTGGCTGCAGCAGCTGTTTCCAACAGCCCTGTGTCCTCGCTGATGGCGGCTGAGGAGGATACATGCAGGAGCCTTGGGAGCTTTAGGATTTCACACTCCTGTATACGCATTCTCCTGTTTTCCCTGCAGTGCTGAATGAGACTTTGGTTTGTTGTATGGCTAATTTTAGATTGGCTGCAGATGCTTTTGTTCTGCTCATAAGGAAGAGGTGTCTTCATTCATGTGCACTGGCACACTGAATGGCCTGTTGCTGCCTCTGCTAGCTCAAAAGAGCAAATGAAGGATACCGGGAAACAGGTGTTCCACGTGTTCTTCCATTTGCTGAAGGGGCAGGAGTGAAGAATGTTTCAGAGTAGCGGCTGTACTCAGTTACGTATGAGACATCCCCTCCCGCTAAATACTAATCAGAGACTGAAAATTCGTGCTCATTGATTTCTGATGTGGGAAGTATGTGAAAAGTAATTTTGTGGGAGATTGCAAGTAAGCATTGGAAGCGATGGTTTTGTAAGTTTATATAGTTGAGCTATTTGATTCCTACACAATACTCATTTAATTTTTGCTCTTGGTCATGACTTGTTAAACCCTTGCCTTTTCCTATGTTTGACGACCAGTAAACTAACTAAATATGCTAGCTTATGTAGTCCTATTTTCATTTTTTTCACTGTATCTGGAAACAGTCAACCACTTATGATTTGCTGCTGGAAATACTAGAGCTTATCAATCATTAAACTGATTTTAATTAAAAGTAACTCATCAAGGCTGTTGTGGGAAAAGATTTTTTTCCTTTGGTTTTATTCATGACATGACTCGAACAGTGTTTGTACGTGCTGATAGAAATGCAAAGTTACTGAAAGTAGTTCAGGGTAGTGTTGGTACTGTAAAAACACCCCATGTGGATATCAGCAGTAAAATGTTCTTTGCTGGACTTGAAGGACAGTAACCTCTGCATATTTGAAACTCTTGAGCTTACTTGCTCACTACTTAAGCATTGTTGATACGTTAAAGATACTGGTAAAGATACTGGCATAATAAAGAGCTTGGCAGGGATTTGGGAATAGGCAGACAGAGCAGAAAGTTGAAACATCACTTGTTTGTGAGAGAATCAAAGCACAATCAGTGAAGACCAGAGAATGACAATTTGGCAAATGTGTAAGGCAGCACACACCAGGCTTTCTGCCCTGGCTGCTGGCGGATTTGTGTAGTTCTCTTCCGTGGATGGGAAATCTGAGACTGGCTGGCTTCTCTCAGACAAGAGAGTAAGTCTGTAAAAACCTGAAGTTGTGGTGCACTTGCTCTATAAAAAAAAAAAATGAAATGCTCATGTATGATGGGTGGCAGAGATTGCAGTACAATCAAATGTGGAGGCTTGGCACTGAGTGCTGGTCAGGGTTTTCTTGTGCAGCGCTTGGTAACTAAGTGAGTTTGCAGCTAAGAGAGTTGGTAGGTTGGACGGAGTTGATATAAAGAGAATGTTTAACATCCAGTACAGACCCTGAGAAAACTAGAGTTCAAGAGATTATTTTTTTTCTTTTAAATTTGTATAGGAATATTTGACAAGTACAAAATGATAAGGTTGCATTCAGGATGGCTACTGAAGTTATACTGAAATAGGTTGATAATTGTTAGTATTTGTAAACTTCCCATGGGAACTAGGAGTTGCTATGAACTCCCTTCTGCCAGGTTCTTCACAAATAATGTTTTGAATTTGGTGCTTACACATTGAGCACTGGAGGTCTTGCAGATGATTTAATTACTGAGCAGTGTATTGATTGATCACTGTATTGCTGTTAACAGGGAGGAACTGAGCAGCACATGGGATCTGTGCTATAAGAGATGAATTCTTGCCTCTACTGAGGAATGTCCCAGGAATGATCCCCCTAAGTTTCCCTGGAACCAGACTGTGCTGCTCCAGACAGTAGGGATGAAGCGGGAGAGGCTGAGCAAACTGCCCAATAGATGAAGAGAGAGTGAATTCTTCCACTGGCCCTTAAGATTAATCTCCTTTTGTTATTTGAAGACAATACTGGTTTGTTCAGCAAAGCCAACCGACAGATTGTTCTGGAGATCAAGATGATGCTAATTAAATGGTCCATGTTTTGTTCTTGAGCAAATGAAGTGATGCAGAACAGAAGCACATCACAACACTCACCATAGCAGCTTCATTGAAGTGATAGCAGAAGTGCAGGGAATGGTTATTCACATTCAGATGTTTGTTTTCCCATCAAGTAAATTTTTTTTATTTTTTTCATCCCCTTCCCCCTTTTTTTTCAAAGTGTTTTGCAGACACTGAAGAGCTTGATGGATTTACTCAGAAACATGGGGGCTGCAGTGTCAATCAAGGATTCAGGTAGCCAAGCAGAGCAAGTGAAGAGACTAATTCTAAAATCAGTCATCTTGGTACGTTTGGGTGGAGGCTTGGGGTGTTATCTAGAGCAGTGTTATTGGGAACTGGGCTTTTATTTCAGACTCTAGCACTGCATATCTGTAAAGAAAAACCAAACTTGTGCATTTTCCAGTGCCTTGGTTTGCCTTTATTTCAAGAGTACTGCTCTATCTCCTGTAAGTCTGGGTTATATAAATTCACAAACACAAAACCCTGGATGCTTCTTGAGAGAAAAGAGCTACATCTGTGCAAATGGTATAAAAAGCTACTTTACTTCCACATGACGAATGCATGCTATTTGGTGGGCTGTCAGCACTATTAAACACCCACTCATAACACAACAGACCCACAGCTTGCTCAGATGCTATTTTCTCTTGGCAACCTGCTATCTGTCAGATTCTCAAATATTAGGTGACATTTCCTTGAACTTTGCATTGCAGATGAATTTCGTAACTGTGCTAAATTAGTTGCCTCCTTGGAGTTAAAGGAGATTATCTGTTCATTTGAGTTCCTAAAGTTGTTTCTGCTATTTTTGATAAAGTGTCCATGCGAAGGCAAACACTGAAACAAAAAGTTACATTCCAGGACTTTTGACCTTTCTGTGCTTGTATCTCAGCTGAATAAAGAGAGTTATGCAACTTCTTGCCTTTTCCTGCAACATCTGTGTGGCAGCTATAGCAACTGCTGATGTCAAAAAGTAATACTAGAAAGCGTTTAATGTATTTTTAGGTTTTTGTCTAATGCACCTTAGCTGATGAAGAGCCAGTGCTGCATGACCAGCTTTCTACAGACACTGGGAAGTGTGGCGCAAACTGCATTTTGAGAACATCAGATCTGATCTTAAGGCCACGTGTGAAGCTGGAAATTTCTAATCGATGCAAATTATTTCCAGACATCGGTAAGTGAAGACTTAAAATCTCAACAGATTGTCAGTGGGATACCAGAACTTTGCACACCAAGTGTGAAGTTCTCTGAAAGGCCTTCACCAGTCTTGGGCTTCTTTGTGACCAAGGGAGAAAGTATTCCCTCCTGCGTTTCCAAGTACCAGCACTAGTAGGTGATGTCTGAGGTCAGCTGAATCAGCTTTCTCATCTGCTTGTGAATTACTTTCTGTAAAGTTAGTTTTCAAACTGTTTTCAGTTCCCCCTTACTGTGTGACCACGCAGTTGTGCACGTGCAAAAAGCTCGACGGTTCCTCCTGACAGCTTGCTTCAGCTGGTTTAGCCAGACTGAAACGGCACCTGGAGCCGCAGTGGCTGTGCGTGTGAACCTGCAGGTCCTGCAGTCCGTTCTGACTGAGCCTGCGGA